GGTGGGATATTGGAGATCATTCAGTTCAAAAAAACATGTACTGTATATGTATTTAAGTCAGACAGTCCTGAGTTCTGATTCTACTGCTTATTAGCTGTTTGACTCAGGGTACATTATTAACCACCCCCACCAGCCTTCACTTCCTTCCTGGAAAACGGGGTGAAGCCAGCAGGGCTGCGGTGAGAATCGGGGCCACCCATGAGGCTCCAGGCACAGGACTCACATGTAGCAGGAGCCCGGCCAGACAGGACAGTGAGGGAAAGTGCTTTTTCAAACTGCAGGTGCAGCCAATGGATCATGAAATCAATTTTGTGCCTCATGACCATCATTTTGTCTTTTATATGAACTAGCATAGAATGGATATAATAGAAAATAGAGTGCAAAGCACTAAGAGTGATAGTGTGTGGGGAAATGTGTGTTTCTGCACGTGTGTGCGCACACGTGTGCATGCAGGATCGTGAGGTACAGCAGTTCTACTGTGGACGGCAGTCACTGGGTGCCCCGGTCCCCAGCAGATCGGTCAGTGGCTCGGAGCTGGGAATCTCCCTAAAATAAATATGAACCCTGGCTCTGCCCCTTATTGTTCAGTGGGTTAAGCTCACAGTGCCTCCATTTTTAAATGTGTCCGACGATAAGGATAACCATATAACTTAGGTGAGGATGAAGTTGGAGATAGCAGGGAAAGACAACCAGCACCAGATCAAAAGAAATGAGAGAGACAGCCTCCAGGAGAGGTAGGAAAAAGCCAGGCATTTGGGGAGAGCTGAGAAAATACATCAGGGTCTTCACAGGGGACCACATAGTATTAGTGGGGTACAGAGCAGTGGTCAGGAAAGAAACCAGGTGGGAGAGGAGCCAGAAAACAAAAGAAAACAAGTGATACTTCTTTCCTCTTGTTCCTGGTGAGAAAAACGCTGGGTAGGTTTCTGTTCCATGTTACCCTAAAATTCACATTGTGCTCACTTTTTTTGTTTCACCATTTAAATTTATACAAACAAGTTAGTTTACGTGATAAGCAAGAGATGTAAAAGAAATCACCAAGGACCACAAAAACATAAATAGAAAGTCATTCCAGAATCTGTTCCTGTTTTTTTTTTTTTAAAGATTTTTTTTTTTTTTTTATTCATGAGAGACAGAGCGAGAGAGAAAGGCAGAGGGAGAAGCAGGCTCCCAAGGAGCAGGG